TGGAAAGTAGTCATTTATGCATTGCTAGTATCAGGGTACAATTTCACGCTACATTATGGCATTGATACTCCAGACTGTGACAACTCCAGAGGATATCAATGCATAAATGAAGACGAAATCACGCTGATGAAATTACCTTTTCTCATCAACATGAGAGACATTTTCCAGTACTAGCACATTGATTGACGGAAGCCCAAGTCCATCCAATAGAACTTCAAGCCCTCCAATGCTCTTAAAATGATTTTGACCCCGTGGATTATCAGATAATGCAAAATACAGTGTTCTCAAGGTCAAGGATTGCAGTGATAAATCTGTCCACTTCTCCTTCATGCTCAACCTCCTGATGACACGCAACAATTCTGGAAAAGCAAAACTCAAAAGAAGTTAATGAAAATACCACAGGAAAATGAATATCGCAGAATATGAGATTTTTTTTAATAGAAAAAGAAGTATTATTCACTATGAGATTTAATTCTGAAGCTTGAAGCTGTTTTTCCTAAATGGAAAAGATATCATCAGAGAAAGATGAGAAAAAATGTCAAAGAAATCCCTATAACAAAGATCAAAGTGAGAAAAAAAAAACAAAAATTAATATGCAATTTACAAGATAGTGAAAGAGATGGTCCTCTAGAGCCCATGAGCCTTAGTCCAGAGAGATGTCATTCTTTTGCCACATAAGCAGAAGAGATAAGAAACAGTCTTTAAAAATCTCTGCATTTCTCTCCAACCACAACAAGCCCAAAACTACAAACATAAATCCTTCCAAAGCATTCGACTCTCATATCAAAAACCATGGGGGGAGAAGAAATAAAAAGGGCTCTCTATGTATTTTTCCTAACAAAGATGCCTAGTTTACAGTAACCCAGCCCAAGAAAAAATAGAGCTCCTTTAACAACTTAGGCACTTAGAAATCCTATGCATCACGAGATCCCATGAAAACATGGATCACAAATTACAACCAAGCAACATACTCAAGTGAGTTCAAGGCCTTTTCACAATAGAAAACAAAACAAAATCAGCCAATCCTATAGCGACTGTCTCAAAGTCTATGCCAACTAAACCACCCTAGCAGTGATTAGTGGACTAAAAATGAGCTCAAGCACTCGCACAAGGCTTTATACAGAAATGCATTAGATGTGCATTAGCATTTCGAATGCATCAAATGTATTACAAGCTTCTAAGTGCATTAATAAGTCAATATTCTACCAAGAAATTTGAAAAAATGCGCACCTTACCTACTAACCAATTAAGGCCACCAGCTTCCATTACTGAGACAACTGCTTTACGATGCCACTGTATTCTTGGTTCACAAATAGGATCTTTCAAACTACCAGAAGAATCAGTCGGTAAGGAACTGGCGCTTGGAACAGAGAACTCTAAAATGTTACTGTACAGCTGAGATTTCTCATTTACATTTGAGTTCAGATCAATAAAGCTACACATTATTGACACCACATGTACAAGTATTTGTTGCAAGAGGCTAGTTTTCTCTAATGCAATTTTGGATAAATTTTCATCAGCAGAGAGTGCACCAGATATTGTTTTGAGTTGGACAACAGCCCCTGAAATAATCAAAAACAATATAAAAATTATGATGGCATCCACATACTTATATGTGCAGTAAACTCGTAATGCTATTTTCCTTATGCTCCTAACCATTTTTTTTTAAATAAAAAGTATGAAAAGTATTATTCACAACAATACCAAGGGAGTATCACCTATATACGAATTTTACAGATTAGTTAATATATTTATAATATTCTCAAACTCTTTCTCCCTATATATATCATGCCCCAACATCAAGAACTAAAAAAAATGAAATCACCTATCCTTGATCTTGTACACCTCAGTCGCAACACCCTCAAAAGCCCTATTGTTCCTCTCTTTCCAAATCACCCGTACAATAGTAAGAGACATTATCTTTACAAATTTTCTTTCTTTACATAAACTTTCTTACGCCCAAATCTCCTCCCTCACCGACCCTGCAATCACCCACTCAATGCCTAATAGTCCATAGATCATCGTCTACAATTCATAAGCCATTGGATACCAAAGGAGAATATGATTACAAGATTCCGCAACTTTCTTGTATAAATAACAACCATTAACCATAATCTTTCCTCGAGCCATTAACTTATCAATTGTAAGAATGCATTCACGGCAAGCCCCAAGCAAAAAACGTAATCCTAAGAGGTGCATTAATCCTCCAAATCTGATGAGCCGGAAAACTTGAGACCTCTTCCCGCCCCCTTCTCACCAATGCTTGTAGTAGGACCTAACAGTGAAACTCCCCTTCTCATTCAATTTCCACATAATCTGATCCTTGTTGCTGTTAACGTTGACTGTAGCAAGAAGCTATAACAAAGTTTCGTATTCTTCAACTTCCCAAGCGTTGAGATTCCTATTTACATTCACAATTCATTCTCTATGGCCATTAGTTTCTCTGTAGACTTCTTCAACCAGCATATACTTGGATTGTGCAATTGCATAAATTCTTGGAAAACGTCTCTTGAAACACCTGCCCGTCATCCATTATCCAACCAAAACCTGACTTTGTTACCCCTACCAACCTTCTATTTGATGCAGTCTCGGATTTTGTATCGGCCCATCTGAATTCTCCTACACAGCCCCCCCCCCATAAGATCTCACCCTTTTACTCTTAAACCCCTCCACCCAATTATCCCCCCATCTAGCCTTGTTCACCCTCTTTCATAGTTTATTATCCTCATTCAAGAATCTCCATAACCATTTACCCTGAAGAGTCACATTCAAATCGGTCAAAGATCTTAACCCCAAGCCCCTTGATTTTTGTGTAATTTGACATCCTCCCACTTCACTAAATGATATCTCCTTTTCCCTTCACCGTCACCATACAAAAACCTACATTTTATAGCTTCCAATCTTTTGGCAATATTCACCGGCAAAATAATTGTAGACAAGTAGATAGGGAGATTAGTTAATTTACTTTTTATAAGAGTTAGTCTTCCTCCCTTAGATAAAAAATTCATCTTCCATCCGGTCAATCTTTTCTCAAATAACCTGATCACAGGTTCTCATGTGTCGCTATCTTTGTATTTAGCTTCCAGCAGCAACCCGAGGTATTTGAATGGAAGTTTAACAGCCTTGCAACCCAATACCCCTACAAGTTGCTTCTCATCTCTTGTATCACCAATTCTCACAAGTTCAGATTTTTGTATATTACTATTCAGTCCTGACACAGCTTGAAAACATAGAAGAACGCATCTTAGATTCATTAACATTTTCTCATCTGGTTGACAAAAGATAACAGTGTCATCAGTAAAGAAAAAATGTGAAATCTCAATCTTACGGTCGCTTTTTCCCACCTCAATACCCCTCAACAACTCCAACTCCTTAGCCCTCTCCACTAATCCATGCAAAGCTTCCATCATAATGATAACAGAGGAGATAATAGGTCATCCTGGCATAGACCCCTGGAGGCCTTAAAGGAAGAAGATGGCCCTCCATTAACTAAGACTGCAAAGGAAGTAGTCAAGATACACCATCGCATCCACCCCCTCCACTTCTGCCCAAACACCACCCTCTCCACCATATAATCAACAAAATCCCAGCTCACATGATCGTATGCCTTCTTCATATCTAACTTACATAGTACCCTTCCCTCTTGTCCACTATTAGGTCATCCACAACTTCATTCGCAACCATAGCGAATCAAGTATCTATCTACCCTCTATAAACGCATGTTGGCAATCCCCAATCACCTCCCCAAGCACCCTAGCCAACCTTCTCGCCAAAACGTTTGAGATCAATTTGTAAATACAACCCATAAGACTTACGGGCCTGAAATCTTTTATGTTGTTTGCGCCTTCTTTTTTGGCAATGAGAACTAAAAAAGTTGTATTAAGAGATTTCAGAAACAAGCCTGTCTCATGCATCTCCCTAAAAATCTCCACAACGTCCCCTTTGATAATATACCAAAACTCTTGTAGGAATTTTATATTGAACCTGTCCGGGTTAGGAGCTTTATTCCCATTACAATCTCTCAAAGCTTCATATATCTCATTCTCGATGAACTCCCCTTCCAAATTTATTATGTTATCATCAGATATTCTTCTAAAGTGCAACCCAGCAAAGAAATTTCTTACTTCATGTTTCAATAGATCCTTACCTCTAACCCGCCAGCCATCAATAGTCAGTTCTTCAATGTAATTGAATCTTCTCTTGTGACTAGCCAAGCAGTGAAAGTATTTAGTGTTTCGGTCGCTCTCTTTTATCCATTTCTCTCTAGCCTTCTGCGTCCAAGTGATCTCCTCCATGTTTAGCCTTTGAGCTAATTCAACTCTCAATGCTTCTCTTTTCTCAATCTCATCCACCACCAAACCTTCAGCCCCCTTCCTCAGCATCAATGTCCACAATGCACTTTAGAATGTTTTCTATTACCTCATTTTCTTTCTCCCTTTCCTCCTTAGTCCACTTCTTGATTGCCTCTTTCAGAATTTTTAATTTACTGGCTACTCTATAGCTTGCCTCTCCTTGCACACCAATACCACGCCACTTTTCTTCAACCATAATTTGGAACTTCTCTATCTACAACCATTTATTATCCAATCTGAATGGAATGGGTCCCCATTGGATTCCTTCCGCCTCTAAGCATATAGGAAAGTGATCAGAATTGTTCTTTGTAATAACTTCTTACATATATCTACAAAGCTGCGAAAGAAA